GAAGGAAGGAAGGAAGGAAGGAAGGAAGGAAGGAAGGAAGGAAGGAAGGAAGGAAGGAAGGAAGGAAGAAGGAAGGAAGGAAGGAAGGAAGGAAGGAAGGAAGGAAGGAAGGAAGGAAGAGCAATAGCAATAGCAATAGTCCTTAGACTTATGTACAGTTTCACAGTGCTTTCCAGCCCTCTCTAAGAGGTTTACAGAGTCAACCTCTTGTCCCCAACAATCTGGGTCCTCATTTAGACGACCTAGGAAGGACAGAAGGCTGAGTAAACCTCGAGTCGGTTAGGATCAAACTCCTGACTGTGGGCAGAGTTTGCTTGCAATTCTGCATTCTAAAAGGAAGGAAGGGAGGGAGGGAGGGAGGGAGGGAGGGAGGGAGGAAGGAAGGAAGGAAGGAAGGAAGGAAGGAAGGAAGGAAAATAGCAATAGCACTTTGACTTATATACCACTTCATAGTGCTTTACAGCCCTCTCTAAGCGGTTTACAGAGTCAGCCGCCTGCCTCCAACAATCTGGCTCCTCATTTTATTCAAGCAAGGCTGAGTTAACCTTGAGCTGGTCAGGATCAAACTCCTGACTGTGGGCAGAGTGTGCGTGCAATTCAGCATTCTAACCACTGTGCCACTATGGCTCATAGATATTTCAGGATGACATGTCTTGACATACTTTTCTCTATACCGAAGGTTCGAATTAAAGAAAAATGGATTGGATAATCTTTATAGTTCAATACTTAAGCAATAATTTCAACATACTTTGAACTGCATTTGCAAGCAATTATTCATGCTTACCTAGGTTAGCCCAGTTTTGTTAGTAATAAAGAAGGATGAAGATTAAGGAAAAATGTGCATGCATCACTCCTAGCTTGAGCCACTCCTATTCAGACATTTCTCAGATCTCAGACAAACTTATCTTTAAGAAGGGGGGAGGAAGCAAAAACTGTACAGAACCAATCAGCTGCCTGTTTTCCAGATTCCCTTTTTCAAAGACTGTGGTGAGGACGATGAGTGTGTAACAGATCTGGTGCTACAAGCTGAGATGGATATCAGTGGATCCAGGTAAGGATCATCTGATCCAAAATATCTTGCAAGTTAGGCAGTTAATGGGGATTTTAAAAAAAATGGGCGCTTATCTTGGTGTCTTAAGTAGCTCTAGGATTCCAATAACCAGGCACAATTTAGAAAACACCAACTAAAACCCAATTGGAATATTAATGGCGAGTTGTGTTCAATAACACTTCTTGGAAGTACATAAAATTCTGCAGAATTTTATCGGTTAGTTGTCCGTGATCAGATGTAGAACTTTCTCACATCATGTTAATCTTAAAGATTGAGAGAAGTACAGATTGGCTAGAGCAGGGGTCCCCAACCCCCCAGGCTGCAGCCCTGGCCTATTCGGAGTTGCGCGAGAGCTGGCTGGAGCGCACGCGGCTCAACTTGTATGAGTAGCGGGCTGGTGGACACTCTGCATTTGCAGCCATCCCATTGCTCACGCAAATCAAGCTGCATGCATGCGCACTGGACCACTACTCGTGCAAAAACTGTCAGGATTCCAGCAATTGCTCTAATTAAATCATGATTCTCAAGCCAAACTTCAAAACACTCCAAAGGATTCATTAGAGGCGACATACTGGCACTGCCTTGTATGCAACCAACTCTGGCATACGTAATTTACAGTCCCCTGTGACCCTGTTTTCCCCCTTCCTCCTGGGTGTATCATAAATCATATTCCCCAGTTGAGCACGTTCACAGGCTGGGTGTCATCCTTCAAGTTCTCCAATTAAATATATTCAGGGCAAAAGCTCTGGTAGAATGTACTTTCGCTTCCAAACTGCTGCACTGCTCCTCCAGATTTCCTTCCCCCACTTTTTTAATGGCAACTACTAAAACAGGCATAGGAGTGTTTTATGAGTTGACAGACTAAATGTGCATGTAGCCCACCGCCCCTGCGGCCCAGTTTCCCCACCCCCCAGCCAAGCCACTAAAGCCGCAAAGGTTGGGGACCGCTGAGCTAGAGTAGAGACTAGTGAATATTTAACCCCTCTCTGTAAGCCAAAGCTGGGACCCTCGTTCTCTTCCTGCAAGTCACAGGGTTGTCATCAATTTTCCTCCTTCCAGGCAGAAGCCTCATGTCATCCGTAAAGGGAAGCGGAAAATGGTGGTTGACGTCCTTCTGGAGAACAAGAAAGAAAATGCCTACAACACCACCCTCCAGATCTGGTTTTCCAGAAGTCTCCACTTCTCCAGCCTTGGGCTCAAGGTATGGTGCCCCTAACCCAAGCATCCCAATGGGATGGCCGGCCAATGGAGCCCACTCTAATTTCCACTCTAATTTCTAAAGAGGCTGGAAGTGCTCCAAAATTGGTGGAAAGTAATGACTTTGGTTACTTACATATACAAAGAGGTTGCCTCGAATAACTGAAGTCCCAGCAAGTCTATTTAGTTCGTTCAACAATTAAATCCCAACTTTCTTTTAAGCATTCCTTGAGCATTACATGACTTAGAAGCAAGATTTCAGTTGAACTTTGGAAACAGGTTCAGCCCTGCGATTGGCAAACTTTGACTTGGAATCTACATTACAGGGTTGCCCCTGCAAGCTGTATTTCTTTCGTGGTTAAACAACGGTGTGCGAACCTAGTTACAGATAGTTGGCTTGGGATTATATTTTCAGGAACATGGAAATTAGAAATAAATAGCAATAACACTTCGACTTATATACTGCTTCATAGTGCTTTACAGCCCTCTCTAAGTCATATACACGGTCAACATCTTGCCCCCAACAATCTGGGTCCTCATTTTACTGGCCGTGGAAGGTAGAAGGTCTTTCCTCAGAGAGCCTGAGATGACATGCACTGGGATCTCCCATAATTTTATTCCACAACAGCCTTGTGAGGTAGGCTGGGCTGAGAGCAAGCAGCCCAAAGTCAAGCCAGCCTAATGCCTCAGTGACTACTAGAGGATCCCGGAAAATTGCTGCCAACTCCTGAGATTCTTCTTAAAGCTCTTTTATTTGATGCCTAAGCCATAATCCTCCTGGTTTCACTAACAGGTTAATCCTGAAGCTCCAGAGTTTCTTCTCAATTGTAAGGTTTAATTAGCGATGATAATCGAACTGCTGGCAGTCGGCAGAATTAGCCTGCAGTACTGCATTCTGACCACTGTGTCACCATGGCTCATTATAAAATAATGAGATAAAACCAATGAAAAGAATCACTGCCCCAAACTTCCCCAGATGCTCAGTTCAGTTTATTCTAGCTCTTCTTTCTCCCACAGGGGGAGAACCCCGTGAAAATGGAGTGCTCGGTTTCTTCCGCTCAGGCCCGCGTGTGCAGCGTGGATTATCCCGTCTTCCGGTCCTCGGTGAAGGTGAGTAAAGAGAGGTTTGCTGGAGCGGAGGTCAACCTTTACAGCTTGGTGGCCCAGTGGGGGGAAGAGGGGAGAGCCAGATGGTGGAAGCAGCAGCCTGCCTTCACTCTCATGTGCATGCCAGCCCACCACTCACGCAACTCAAGCTGCCTGGGCGGCCCGGTTCCAAATGGCTAAAGCCCTGGGATTGGGGACACATGCGCTAGAGAATCTGGTGAGGTTTGTTTGTCTATTTGTTTGGTTTGCCAATTGCTTACAAGATAATAGGTATAAGGTATAAGTATAAATAGATAATAGGCTGGTTGAAGGCCTCTCAGTTTAGGGATAAAAAGACATGCATGTCTGTTTTAAAGAATCACATGATGCCCTAAATGGATTTCGGTAGACAATGGCCACTTATGTTTGTTTGTTTGTTTGTTTGTTTATTTATTTTATTTATTTTAGTTTGTCAAGCATGTATGAGAAAACAAGTATAAGTATGAACATAATATATAAGTATAAACAGGTATAAGTATAAACGTGATAAATAAGTACGAATAAATGGGAACCGTAGGAGAGGGAAGGTAGGCAGGCTGGTGCGCTTATGCACACCCCCCTTTACAGACCTCTTAGGCGTGGAGCGAGGTCCACGGTAGACAGTCTAAGGTTAAAAGTTTTTTGGGGGGGTTGAGGATGTAACAACAGAGTCAGGGAGTGAGTTCCAGGCGTTGACCACTCTGTTGCTGAAGTCGTATTTTCTGCAATCGAGTTTGGAGCGATTTACTTTGAGCTTATATCTATTGTTTGCCCGTGTATTATTGTGGTTGAAGGTGAAGTAGTCATTGACAGGTAGGATGTTGTACCAGACAATTTGGTGTACTATGCTTAGATCGGACCGTAGGCGGTGTAGTTCTAAGTTGTCTAGGTCCAAAATTTCAAGCCTGGTGGCATAAAGTATTCTACTGCAAGCGGAGGGGTGGAGGACGCTTCTCCAGGAGTGGGACTCAAAAACCCCAGCAACCGGTTCGCTGCCCGGTTGCTGGGTGGGCCATGATAGGCAGGGTCTACTGGAACATCCTGCTTCTGGCTTCCGGTGGGCCTCCAGAGCCTGGGGGAGGCCGTTTCACCTTCCCAAAGGTCCAGAGGTCTCCCCCGGGCCTCTGGGAGGGCGAAAACAGCCTCCCCCGGCCACTGGAGACCCACTGGAAGGCAGAAGCAGGCCCATTTCCGGACTTCCAGAAGGCCCCTTTTCCCCCCTCCCAGAGCCACCGGGCAATAAATGGGCTATGTGGAGACTCCTGGGAGGGGCCAGGTTGTTGGTTGAAATACTGGTTTGCTGACCAGCTGTAACTTTAACATCCAGTTCGCCCGAACCAGTCCGAACCAGTAGAATCCCACTCCTGCTCTTCTCATGAAATAAGTTCTGGACTCACTCAATTGTATTACTTACCATTGTATTAATTACCGGTAGTCCTTGGCCTACAGCCATAATGGAGACCGCTCATTAGGGTTGTGGGTCATGGTCTTTGTAAGTGGGGTCAGTAACCTGACTGGTCCGATCAAGTGAATGCCACAAGTGCCAAGGCCAACAGATGAGAATGCCACAGGGGTCAAGTGACCCGTTGTTGGCTACGGCATGGTTTTTCAAAATGGTGGGGAAAAGGTGTCACGTGACGGCAGGGATGCTGCCAATGCAGCTGTGTTGCTTAGCCCCCGAAGTGTCCGTGTGAACCCTGAAGCTGACCTGACCGGAGCCATCTTCAGGTGATCAGTGGGGAGCTACTAGCGGAACCGGGTCGTAACTCTTTTTTGCAGTTAGTTGTACATTGAGGACTAGCTGTACTGCTCTGTCAGCACTAAGAAGACAGCTCTCCTGCCCTTTTGAACCAACTCCTGGTCCTTCGTGGCTTCCATCTGAACACTTAGGGGTGACATGATAGCACTATTCCAGTCTTTGAGGGGCTGCCCCAAAGAAGAGGGCAGGGTCAGCTTATTCCCCAAAGCACCTGAAGGCAGGACAAGAAACAACGGATGGGAACTAATCAAGGAGAGAAGCAACCTCAAACTAAGGAGAAATTTCCTGACAGTTAGAACAATTAACCAGTGGAACGACTTGCCACCAGAAGTTGTGAACGCTCCAACACTGGAAGTTTTTAAGAAGAGATTGGACAGCCATTTGTCTGAAGTGGTGTAGGGTTTCCTGCCTAAGCAGGGGGCTGGACTAGAAGACCTCCAAGGTCCCTTCCAACACCGTTATTCTACTCTATTCATTTGAAAGAGGGATCAAAGAGATTGGACAGCCATTTGTCTCAAATTGTGTCGGGTCTCCTTCTTGAGCAGGGGGTTGGACTAGAAGACCTCCAAAGACCCTTCCAACTCCGTTATTCTGTTATTCCTTTTCCGTCACTTTCCTTCGCAGGTGGCCTTTGCCCTTGAGTTCGAATTCAGCTGCTCCTCTCTTCTGAACAAAGTGCAGGTGAAGCTTACAGCCAGCAGGTGAGAACTGAGGCTGGGGAATTATAGAAGCCTATTTGCACTTGATGGCAAAATGTTGGGAAGAATAAAATGAATTAGTCCAAAAGGGGAAACACAGGTATAGCCCTCAACTTACAACAGTTCATTTAGTGACTGATCAAAGTTACAAAGGCACTGAAAAAAGTGACAGGACTGTTTTTCACACTTATGACCATTGCAACATTCCCATGGTCACCTGACCAAAATTCAGACGCTTGGCAAATGACTCATATTTACAACAGTCTCAGAGTCCCAGGGGGTCACGTGATCCCCTTTTGCGACCTTCTGACAAGCAAAGTCAGTGGGGAAACCAGATTCACTTAACGACCCTGTTACTAAGTTAACAACTTCAGTGACTCAAACAAAGGTGGCATGAAAAGTCATAAAATGAGGCAAAGCTCACCTAACAAATTTCTTGCTTAGCGACGTAAAAGTTGGGCCCAAATTGTGGTCGTGAGACGAGAATTACCCATCCCTGGAATTCAACATTTGAGCCTTTTGACTGTGAAAAGCCCAGGTTAGTTTGTCATGCCTTGAGAAGGGCTTTCAGCAACCCATTAAAACCCTTCGTCTGCCTTTCTTCTGCGCAGTGACAGCAATGAGTTGAATCAAACAATGGCAGACAACACGGCCCAGCCCACCGCCTTTGTCTCTTATGAGCCTGACCTCTTCCTGACCAGGTGAGTCTGTGTGTGTCTGTGTGTCTGTGTCCCCCCCCCCCGTTAGGGATGGAAAGATCCCAAGCAAGTCAGGCCTGCGGACGAATAGAGTAGAGCAGGACAGGACAGGACAGGACAGGATAGGATTTTATATTGGCCAAGTGTGATTGGACACACAAGGAATTTGTCTTTGGTGCATATGCTCTCAGTATACATAAAGGGAAAAATAAAATATATTCAACAAGAATCATAAGATACAGCACTTAGTGATAGTCATAGGCTACTAATAACCAATCAAATCATGCTAGGGAACAAATAAAACAATATAAATTGTAAAGATACAAGCAACAGGGTTATCGTCATAAGTGGGAAGAGATAGGTAATAGGAAGGATGAGACGAATAATAGTAATAGTTACTAAGTAGTTTGACAGTGTTGTGGCAGTTAGTTGTTTAGCAGCGTGATGGCATTCGGGAAAAACCTCCCCTTGTGTCTAGTTGTTCTGGTGTGCAATGCTCTATAGCGTCATTTTGAGGGTAGGATTTGAAACAGTTTATGTCCAGGATGTGAGGGGTCTACAAATATTTTCACAGTCTTCTTTTTGACTCGTGCAGGGTACAGGTCCTCCATGGAAGGCAGGTTGGTAGTAATTGTTTTTTTCTGCAGTTCTGGATGGAAAGACATCCCAAGCAAGTCAGGCCTGAAGACAAATGGCTGCATTTCTTACCAGCCTGACTCATTATTTGCTGTGTTTGTAGGATGGTTTCTTGGATGGTTCATAACAAACAATTAAAATAATAGTTTAGAAACTTTAGAATTGATCTGTGGGCGGGGGAAGGTGTCTACCGCTAAAATGGACTACAGACAGTCCTCAAATCGTAACAGTTCATTTAGTGATTGTTTGATGTTATAATGGCGCTGAAAAAGCGACATGACTGTTTTTGACATTTATGACAGTTGTAGCATCCTCATGGCAGTGTGATCAAAATTCAAACTTCCGGTTGCGCTTCCGTCAATTGTCCGCGGTTTCACTCCGTGCTCTCTTGTTGGAGGGTCCCAATTGGGACTGGAACCACCTTGCAGGGATGGTGAAGAAAGGGGGACCACCTGTCAGGTTGAGGGGAGCTGCATCTCCCCTCCCTGGAAAGGAAAACCCCCTCCAAAGACAAGCGGTAGCCCAAAATGGCTACCATGAAGACGGGAGGCAGTCCAGGAAACTAAGACTGTGCTGGAGTGCAGTAGCAGTGAATGATGTGTGGACTGAGTGACAATCTATCGAACCTTAAGGTAAATAAGCAGAAAAGAATTCTTGTAAAGAACTGGGCTAGCTGCAATTAGAATATAAGAGAAAACTGGGAAACGCAAGGAAGTTATTCTTTGGAAAAAAGAGAAAATTAAAACGGAATGTATATAAATTGGGGGAAAATTTTGAAAAAAAAAAGAGAGCAGATAATTGGAACTGATGATTGGTCATGATTTGGCATGAAAAAGGCATTATTTAAAATGCTGGAATTGATTGTTATAAATAGAGCAACTGACTCATATTCATGATGGCCGCAGTGCTCTGGGCTCATGGGATCCCTTTTTGTGACCTTATGACAAGCAAAGCCACTGGGGAAGATTCACTTAACAACCATATGACTAATTTAACAACGGCAGGGATCCACTTAACACCTGTGGGCAAGAAAGGCCGTCAAATGGAACAAAACTCATTTAACAAATGTCTCACTTACCACATAAATTTTAGCCTCGGTTGTGATCATAAGTGGAGGACTGCATTCTGAACTTCCAACTCAAAGGATGTCTCCGATTTAGGTCCTTCTGTTTTTTTTTGTTTTTGTTTTAGTGAGTCTACCCTGAACCGTTATGAAGTGCATCCTGTGGGGACCTTCCCGACTGACCTGAGCCCAGAGTTTCGGACAACCATCAAAGTAAAGATGTGGAAAAGAAGGAGCAAGGCCCTGGGAGGAATGGCCAGCTTTGGTTCAGCGCTTCCGGCAGGGTGGGGAGGGGGAGGGGTGTGTGTGCAGGATACAGCACTGCAGCCTTGGACACAGGTGCCGGCCAGGAGTGGGCTTCAAAAATATCGGTTCTCTGCCCGGTTGCTGGGTGGGCGTTGCCATGATGGCGTGGCCTAGTCGGCCTCCTGCACCATAGTGTGTGTGGGGGGAGGCGTGTTTTTGCCCTCCCTGAGCTCCGGAGGCTTTCCACGAACCTCCGGGAGAGCAAAAACGGGCTCCCACAAGCTCCGTCTGGAGCGCAGCAGTTTCTGACTGGTTCTGCAGAACCGGTAGCAGAAATGTTGAGTAGTTTGGAGAACCGGCCAATCGCGCCTCTGACTGTCCCCGCCCCATCTATGCTCCGCCTCCCGAGTCCCAGCTGATGGCTGGGTCTTCTTTGGTTGCCCTGCACAGGAGAACGGAGCTGGAAAGCAGGTTAGTGTGTTGGGGAGGGAATGGGGATTTTGCAGTAACCTTTCCCTGCCACGCCCACCAAGCCACGCCCACAGAACCGGTACTGCTCCATGCAGGCCCTGCACTTACCTGGCATCCAAACAGGCCGCGTGGAGACTCCTGAGAGGGGTGTGGAGGGGTGGGCGGGGCCAGCCAGGGGTGGGATTTACCGGTTCACCGAACTAGCCATAAAACTAGCTACGCCTTCGCCCAAACCAGAACAAACCGGTAGCAGCCCACCCCTGTGGTGCCCCCCCTTTCAACTCACCACAGCCAATTCATCATGGCCAACTTGCAGCAGGATAGAGATGAGACTAATATTGAAGAAATAGTGGAACGGAATCCTGAAAGAAAGGACGCCAAAAGTGGGGACAGAAGGAAATATGCACGACAAAATGTGAAATATTTATGTAGTTATTTGAAATAACTAAGTTGAATTGTTGGATTGTCCTGCAGTGAGTTGTCCTGTGGCAAATTGACCATGGTGAGTTGTCCCATTTCGCCTCTGTGATGCTGCCTCCAAGTGAGGCTTTGAGTGCTCTAAAGCGGCCTTTTCTGTCGGCTGCAGGAACAAAAAGGAAGAAGAAAAGTTGAAAGACTTAAAATATACAATGAACCTAAAACATACGATGAACGGTTGCAGGAACTGGGCATAGCAGTCTAGGGAAGGGAAGGACCAGGGGAGACAGGAGAGCATCTTCCAATATTTGAGGGGCTGCCACAGAGAGGAGGAAGGGGGTCAAGCTATTTTCCAAGGCACCTGAAGGCCAGACAAGGAACAATGGATGGAAACTGATCAAGGAGAGATTCAACCTGGAAATAAGGAGGAATTTTCTGACAGGGAGAACAATCAACCCCTGGAACAGAAGTTGCCTTCAAAAGTTGTGGGAAATCCATCACTGGAGGCTTTCAAGAAGAGATTGGACTGCCATCTGTCAAATGGTGTAGGGTCTCCTGCTTGGGGGGTGGGGTTGGACTAGAAGACCTCCAAGGTCCCTTCCAACACTCTTAATCTTTTAACCTGCTGCTGCTGCTGTCTTTTTTCTCTCATTTTTTTCTCTCTCAAGTTAGCGAGAGCCACAATTCAACTTTAAGAATCTGTCTCTGCTTTTTTCTTTTTTCTTCTTCCCTGCCAATCCCTTTTTCCTTTTTTTGTTTTGTTTTGTTTCATGCTTTACTAGGGAACCAACATTAAATCTTTTAACAGATCTATTGGAAAATTCTCTGGGAGAAAATGGTGAATAGCGGTAGTCCTCAACTTACAACAGGTCATTGAGTGATGGTTCAATGTTACGACGACCGTGAAAAAAGTGGCTTACGACTGTTTTTCACACTTATGACCGTTTGCAGCGTCTCCATTATCACGTGATCAAAAGTCAGACGCTTGGCAACTGACTCATACTTATGACAGCCACAGTGTCCTGGGGTCATGTGATCCCCTTTTGCAAACTTCTGACCAACAAAGTCAACCGGGAAGCCAGATTTCACTTAACAACCGTGTTACTAACTTAAAACACCTGCAGTGATTTACTTAACAACTGGGGCAAGAAAGGTCGTAAAATGGAGCAAAACTCACTTAACCAATGTCTCACTTAGCAACATAAATTTTGGGCTCAATTGTGGTCATAAGTTGAGGGCTCCTACCTGTACATCAAGCGCCTTCTCTGTTTGAAGATTTCATCCATGTTGCCCCAAAGGAGAAATTAAGAAGCTTCTTTGGAAAAAAACAACAACCTTACATTCACGTCCCCATTTTTTAAAAGATTTTCTTTTGATTTTCTTGTCCTTGCAGATACAAAATCTTGCCTGTTATGCAGTGCCCAACCTCTCACTCCTGATGGCATTTCCTGCCACTGGCTATCAAGGGAGGGAATTCCTCTGGGTGACTCGCATCCTTGCGGATAATGTAAGTGGCTTCAGTTATGCGCAAGTTCCCATGGCCCAACAGCGCCCTTCCCAGATGAGCCACAACTCCGAAACCAAGGTTTCTCAGCCTTGCTGGCTTGAAGATCTCTGTGTTATGACCCAGTTCGCCTAGGACAGGGGTCCCCAAACTTGGAAACTTTAAGACTTGTGGACTTCAACTCCCAGAATTCTCCAGCCAAAGTTGGAGTTCGGCGGTTCGAATCCCTAGAGCCGCGTAACGGAGTGAGCTTCCGTTCCTTGTCCCTGCTTCTGCCAACCCAGCAGTTTGAAAGCAGAAAAATAGGGACCCCTTTGGTGGGAAGGGAACAGTGTTCCGTGCGCCTTTGGCATTTAGTCCTGCCGGCCACATGACCATGGAGACGTCTTTGGACAGCGCTGGCTGTTCGGCTTTGCAACGGAGATAAGCAGCGCCCCCTAGAGCCAGAAACGACTAGCATGGATGTGCGAGGGGAACCTTTACCTTTAATGCAATGTACTGGTTTTGATTAGCAAAGCATCATATATACCTTTGTATATAAAGCATGGTGGAGAGAGAGAGAGACAGAGAGAGAAAGAGAGAGAAGGAATTGTTTCAAGCCAATGCATTTATATTGCTTTCTTTTGCAAAGACATAATGCAATGTAGGGACGCGGTGGCTCAGTGGCGTTTAGTCCTGCCGGCCACATGACCATGGAGACGTCTTCGGACAGCGCTGGCTGTTCGGCTTTGAAACAGAGATGAGCAGTGCCCCCTAGAGCCAGAAACGACTAGCATGGATGTGCGAGGGGAACCTTTACCTTTAAAGAATAAGGAATTGGGGTCCAATCTGACTGTTCACATTAGGCTGCGTTTTTGAAATGATTCTTAACTAGAAACAGTTTCCAGAAAATTCTGTTGAAACATCAGAAAAATAGCCCACATTCAATTTTTTTTTTTGGGGGGGGGGGGGGGTTGCAATCCAAGCAGCAATTTGATGCTTTATTCTTTTAACTCTTAAGGTGACCTGCAGCTTGCCGAATCGTACTGAGTTTGGATCAGCTAATAGTGTGGTTCCACTGCACCCAGAAGAATTGGCACACACAGACAGAGTGGTGAGTCCACGTTTGGTTCTATGGTTAAGATGCTGGCCTAGAAATGGGAAAATTGTGAGTTGGACCGGTCCCAAACAAACCAAGTTTAGGATTTAATTGGCTAGTCTTAAACTCCCGCATGCCAGTAGTTGGGCACTCACAAGATCTTCTTACCGCATTTGGAATACTGCACAAAGTTTTGGTCACCACGATAACAAAAAGATATTGAAACCCTAGAAAGAGTACAGAGAAGAACAACAATGATGATTAGGGGGTTGGATGCTAAAATATATGAAGAACGGCTTGACTGATCCTGTCAGTGCCTGGCTATGTTTAAGAAAACCAAGCAGGGCAGACTTAGTCACTATTTGAATGGGAGACCACTAGGAAATCCCAAGCTGGAGGCCTCATTGCAAAATTAAAAAAAAACCATCAATCAGAGCTGGAAGGGACCTTGGAGGTCATCTAGTCCAACCCCCTGCTCTAGCAGGAGACCCTATACCATTGCAGACAAGTGACTGTCCCATATCTTCTTAGAAGCCTCCGGTGATGGAGCAGCCACAACTTTTGGAGGAAAGTTGTTCCACCAATTAATAGTTCTCACTGTCAGGAAATTCCTCCTTAGTTCTAGGTTGGTTCTCTCCTTAGTTACTTTCCATCCGTTGCTTCTTGTCCTGCCCTCTGGTGCTTTGGAGAATAGCTTGACTCCCTCTTCTTTGGGGCAGCCCCTCAAATACTGGCAAAGTGCTATCATATCACGCCTAGTCTTTCTTTTGATCAAACTAGACATACCCATATGTCCAATCCCAAAGAAGGCAAGATCCAACCACGCTGCTTCCAAGGAAACTGGGCAAACCTCCCCGTGAAGTGGCCCTGAGTAGCCCTCAAGCCAAATCAGGCTTCCCTGCCCTTTTTTCTGATTGGGTGTGTTGTGGGAATCCAGCCTGAAGCCTCTTAGGTGAAGAAAACCATCCCTAAGCCAGCATCTGTTTCTTTTCCTTTGGCCATAGCATGTTCTATGAGCCCAACAATCACGTTTTCTTCAAGTAGATTCGGGATTAAACCTCCAGCGCCTTTCCTCCCCTGCAGAATTGCACCAACGCTGGCTGCCAAGTGGTGACCTGCCAACTGCAGCGTCTCGAGAGGAGCTCCGAAATTACTATCCACTTACTCAGAGCCGTCCGGAACGAGTTTTTCCGGAAGGTGAGTGCAGCCGCAGGTGCCTCCTGCCCTGTGTGCGTTCATGTGTGAGAAACAAAAGGAGGAATTTTCTCTTCGCTCACCATCCGTGGACTTTATTAGCACAGCTTGTGAAACTACTGAAGCTTTGCAGGGTTGTGGTTTTTATTTGTTGGACAAAGTCAGCCACTGAGGAATCTTAGCTAGTTTAATTTATAAACCGCTGTAATATGCAAAGCAGAATAAATACATGAGTACGAATAAATGGGAACCGTAGGACAGGGATGGTAGGCAGGTTGGTGCGCTTATGCACGCCCCCTTACAGACCTCTGAGGAATGGAGTGAGGTCCACGGTAGACAGTCTAAGGTTAAAGTTTTGGGGGGTTTGAGGATGTAACAAGAGAGTCAGGGAGTGAGTTCCAGGCGTTGACCATTTTCTACCATCGAGTTTGGAGCAGTTTACTTTTTGGTTTGTATCTATTGTTTGCCCATGTGTTATTGTGATGGGAGCTGAAATAGTCATTGACAGTGCAGGGAGTTGCGTAACTCCTGTAACTATGTGTGTCATAGCGAAAAGAAAAGAACAGAAAGAGAAAATGGAGTCAGGCAGTGTGGTCCCAAGGGAGGTGGGGGAGAGAGAGGGGAACAGTCTGCTGCAAGGAATATTTCCTTGGATTTTAGTTTAAGGCAGGAGTCCTCAACTCCAGGGCCGCAGCCCATTATTGGGCCGTGGCCTGTTCAGAACCAGGCTGCGAAAGCGACAGAACGGAGCATGCACGCATCTTGACTTGTGCGAGCAGCGTGCCTACATGCCCACGTGGGCAACTCAACATATGCAAATGGCAGGCCAGTTCCTCTCCCCCCTCCGGTCCAGGCCACCAAGCCGTAAAGATTGGGGGCTGCTGAATTAACTCCACCTTTTTAATATCCCCTTTCATGTTATTGCAAAATCGCATTCAGTAGCTTTGAATGGCATGTTTTGAAATTCAGTGCGCCGTCTGATTATTTTTTTATCGCTTTTCTGCTTGGATCAGATGGGATCGTGATCTGGGTGCTTGGCAACCCATGCACACCTACGACCAGTTGCCAAGCACCCCACAATCCTGTGATGGGTCTCTTGTGACCTTCTCTGCAGGCTTCCCCAGGAAGTCAATGGAGAAGCCAGCAGGAAAAGTCATCAAGTCTCACCCTCACCCTTCATTTTGTGAATCTAGGCTAAATTCAAGACAGTGAAGATCATCAGCAGCATCACCCTGAACATCCGAAAAGAAGACAACCTGTTTCTCCTACCAAAAGCTGCCCACCAGCGGCAGGTAAGACATGGGACTGACACATGGCCTGGTGCAAGCAGCCAGATTCACACGTGGAAGGTTCGAATTGTATAGGATAGGATAGGATAGGATAGAATAGAATAGAATAACAGAGTTGGAAGGGATCTCTTGAGGTCTTCTAGTCCAACCCCCTGCCTAGGCAGGAAACCCTACACCGCTTCAGACAAATGGTTATCTGACATCTTTTTAAAAAAAACTTCCAGTGTTGGAGCATTCACAACTTCTGGAGGCAAGTTGTTCCAATCCATGCTCCTTTCCCCAGCAAAGGAATCTCCCAGCATATTTAACTTCTGCAGAATGCTCTTCAGTATTTCAAAATTGAACAGAAAGACCAGAAATCAATAACAGAATCTCTGCTGTGCATGTAAAGGAGCCTCAGTGCACTCCTCTCCCTAGGTAAAGTCTTCACTATAAAAAATAACAATATGGAGTTAGAATAGAATAGAATAGAATAGAATAGAATAGAATAGAATAGAATAGAGAATAGAATATAGACTAGAATAGAGAATAGAATATAGATTAGAATAGAAAAGCATATAGACTAGAACAGACTGTAGAATAGAATAGAATAGAATAGAATAGAATAGAATAGAATAGAATAGAATATAGAAGAGTACAATAGAACAGAACAGAATAGGATATTGGAATGAAGGAATAGAAAAGAATAGAATAGAATAGAATAAATATTGGAAGGAATAGAATAGAATAGAATAGAAGAGAAGAGAATAGAATAGAATATAGAAGAGTACAATAGAACAGAACAGAATAGGATATTGGAATGAAGGAATAGAATAGAATAGAATAGAATAGAATAGAATAGAATAGAACAGAATAGATATTGGAAGGAATAGAATGGAATGGAATGGAATGGAATGGAATAGAATAGAATAGAATAGAATAGAATAGAATAGAATAGAATAGAATAGAATAGAATAGAATAGATATTGGA